CATTCCCACTTTCTGCTTGCAGTTTGAGACAGGCATGTGGGCAAACGTCGCTGACGTCCAGCCGCTCATCTTGGCCTTTGCGGGGCCGCTGACGCAGCTTCTCCACGGCACCTTGGACGGCGATCAGCTGCGCTCGACAGGCGGCGAGGCTCTGAAACAGGCAATTTGGCGCGACGCCTTCCGCCTCGACTTGGACGGCGACCTTGACATGTTGCCGCCGACCAAGCTCTCAGCCGCCGACTGCTGCTGCATCTCGTCAAAGTCCATGTATGCACGCACAAAGACGCAGCTGATCAAGACGCACACCATCGTCTACGAGCGAGACGATGCTCTGGAGCGTTTGCTGGCTGCAGCGATGGCCCACCTCTGGATCGACGAGCTCGACACGTCCGACCCATGCGCACTTGCGCAGACTGCGATACTCGGTGGCCACATGCAGCTGCTTTGCTGTCTACGCGATGACTACGGCGTCGATCTGGCGGCGATTTCGCACGTCGACGATCACGATAGTCCCTTGGCAATGGACTGGGCGGCGGGACACGGGTATCTGGACGTCGTGCAGCTGCTGCGGGACGCGGGATGCAGCGGGTGCTCGACCGAGGCATTGGACGACGCAGCGTTTAACGGGCATCTGGACGTCGTGCAGTGGCTTCACCGCCACCGTACCGAAGGCGGGACGTCGTCAGGCGTCGACTTTGCGATCGCGGCCACCCACTACGACATCGCGACCTTCCTGCGCTCGCATTGCGGACTCTGGATCTCGGACAGAGCACTCTATTATTCAGCCAGCATGGGTAGTCTCGGCGGCGTGATGTACCTCGACCAAGAATGCCACGCGTCCTGCGGCGCCGATGTCATGGACGCGGCCGCTGCCAACGGCCACCTACATATCGTCCAGTACCTCCACACGCATCGATCCGAGGGCTGTACGAGGAAAGCGATGGATGATGCTGCTAGCGCCGGCCACCTCGAAACCGTGGTTTGGCTGCACAAGCACCGAGACGAAGGCTGCACGACGGACGCGATGGACGCTGCGGCGGAACGGGGTCATCTCCACGTCGTCGAATGGCTGCATGCGACCTGACCGGAAGGGTGCACGTTTCGCGCGATGGACAAGGCAGCGCGACGGGGGCACTTGGCCATGGTGCGCTTCCTGCACACGTACCGAAGCGAAGGCTGCTCACAAGAGGCAATGGCGTCCGCCGCGCACCTTGGACACTTGGCGGTCGTCCAGTTTCTCCATCAGCACCGCACCGAAGGCACGACGACAGATGCGATCGACTGGGCCGCGGCGTCCGGCCACCTGAGGTCGTTCAATGGCTGCTTGCAAACCGCTATGAAGGCTGCTCTGCGATGGCCTTCTACTACGCAGCGCACAACGAGAAGATGGAGATGCTGCAGTTTCTCGTGACCCTCCAAGGCACGGAGGCGCCGCAGGAAGCGGCCGTTGGAGTGGCTCTTGCGCGGCAAGACTCTGTTGCTTTGGCCAATCTCAAAGTAGCCGGCTGCGCGGGGGCAGTCCAAGCCTTCTCGTAATTACTACGGTTTGTCTTCCAAGTTGATTGCACTGCGCTTCATCTGTGGTGCTTGCAAGGATCTCTTGTCGGGACCTGCTTTCGATTGGCTATAAATCGAACGATTTCCGTGCCGTACACATTTTCTACTGGTTCCGAGCCCCGCCAACGACCTGTGGGCGATTGTGGCAGTGTGAAGTCAAAACACCATCAGACCGTCGTTTGACATGTGGACGCAAGTCGCTGACCTGCAGCCGCTCATCCTGGCTTTTGCGGGGCCGCTCACGCAGTATTTGTGCGGCGCCTTGGACGACAAGCAGCTACAGAACAATGTCCTCACGAGCGGCATTTGGCGCGATGCCTTTCGCCTCGATTGGCCCGGCGACCTCGACCGCCTCCCAGCATTGGAGTACCTCGTCCCTAAAGACTACCGCTGCATTCGGTCCAGAGCCATGTACGCCAAGGTGCTCGCCATCCGTAGCATTGCTGGCAAGCCCTTGTACTTCAAACGTGCATACTGCAACAAGAGCATGCCGCCGCATGAGCACTGTGGCCGTGAACCGTGGCCATGCGACATTGAGATTCGCGCCAAGGACGCTGCGCCGATGGAGAACCTCTGGCTCGACCTCCTCGCGTCTTTTCTCGAGCGTCCCGTCGCACTCGCGCAGGCTGCCATCGCGGGCGGCCACATTGAGCTTCTACGCTACCTCAACCGCGAGAAGAGCGTCGACATCGCCGACGTTGGCTATGTCCTGCATTTCCCTCCGCGCGTGGCCATGGACGTAGCTGCTACGAACGGCCACCTGGAGGTGCTTCAGCTGCTTCATGATGGAGGCGCATCATGCACCACGGCCGCCATGGACGGCGCCGCTGCCAACGGTTACCTTTCGGTCGTTCAGTGGCTCCATGACAACCGCACCGAAGGCTGCTCAGAGCACGTGCTCGACACGGTTGCCGGTCGCCATCCGAATGTCGCCACCTACCTCCTGCAACGCTACAGCAGTCTCTCGCTCTCATCAGCAGCACTCGACGGGGCGGCGAAAGACGACTACATCGACGTCGTGGTAGAGCTGCATGAGAAGTGGCATGCACCATGCACGACCAAAGCCTTGGATGGCGCCGCGTATTCTGGTGATCTGGACATCGTTCGCTTCCTCCACGAGCACCGGGACGAGGGCTGCACGCCGCTCGCCATGGATGCAGCCGCTCAGGAAGGCCACTTGGACGTTGTCACGTTTCTCACCGAGCACCGGACCGAGGGATGTACAGTGAATGCGATGGACCACGCGGCGCGCGGTGGCCACGAAGATATCGTTGTGTACCTCCATACGCACCGGTCGGAAGGTTGCACGACGCGAGCGATCGACTGGGCTGCGTCGGCAGGTCATCTCTCGGTCGTTCAATTTCTTTTGAGAGAGCGCGCCGAAGGGTTCACGTTTCGCGGTATCTTTTGGGCCGCAAAACACCCCGAGGTCCTCGCAGTCTTACTCGAGCACGATGTGACGAAGAAGCGCGCAGCTGACGCCGTCGACACCGCGCTAAAATTTTCGTATCGCGACGTCTACGAGCGGCTGCGAGCTGCGGGATGTCTTGGCACGTCGCGCCCATCGCACGAAATGTCCTGGATCGCTCCCAACCCGAACATTTTCCTGTACATTTCCGACGACGCTGATGAGGACGCGTATGACGAAGGCGATAGCGACGCACTCCAAGTTGTCCAGTACTTGATGCCGTGCAGGCCGTAAGTCGAATAAATTGGTGTTTGCACGCTGGCAAACTGTACAGTGCTCCCCATTCTCTAGCGTTCTTGGCACGTCCCTGGCGGTGAAGGGCGCTTGAATGTTGTCGCGCCATTCGCGCTTAGTCGCTTGGATTTATACACTCAAGGGGAGCTGGTAGAAAGGACGGTACACCCAAATACCCGTGGTGTTGTTCACTGTGAAGAGCAAGGAGCCCGGTAGCGCTTTTTATTGGCTCTACATCGAGCGATTTCAGCGCTGTAAACATTTTCCACTGGTCAAATCTCACACGAGGCATCGTCGCCGCGTATTGCTAATGTCATTGACCCAGGCTTATGTTCAAACCTTCATGTTGCTGAGCACCGTCACTCACGCCGACGCGTGAGCGCTCACCAACAGACCGTCATTTGACGTGTCGACACAAGTCGCAGACCTGCAGCCACTCATTTTGGCCTTTGCGGGGCCGCTCACGCGGCTCCTCCACGGCACCTTGGACGACGATCAGCTGCGCTCGAACGGCGGCGACGCGTGAAACAGGCCATTTGGCGCGACGCCTTCCGCCTCGACTGGGATGGCGACCTGGGTATCTTGCCACCGACCAAGCTCTCAGACGCCGACTACCGCTGCATCGCATCTCGAGCCATATAAATACGCACTAAACCGCAGCTGATCAAGACGCACACCATCGACTAGGAGCAAGACGATGCTTTGGCTGCAAGCGCTTGCTTGCAGCAGCGTTGACCCACCTCTGGATCGACGAGCTCTACACGTCCGACCCATGCGCACTCACAGAGGCTGCCATTCTCGGTGGTCATACTCGACTCCTGCGCTGTCTTTGCGACGACTGCGGCGTCGATCTGGCATCGATTGGGCGAGTCAACTATGACGGTCGTTACGAGATGGACTGGCGGCAGGACACGGGTATCTGGAGGTCCTGCACGACGCTGGTAGCAGCGCGTGCTCGACACGCGCCATGGACGACGCATAGTGCTACTAGTAACGCCGGCCACCTGGAAACTGTGGTGTGCCTCCACGAGCACCGAAACGAAGGCTGACGACCGACGCCATGGACACTGCGGCCCAAGAAGACCATCTTGACGTCGTACAGTGGCTGCACGCAAACCGATGTGAAGGTTGCACGTGTCGCGCAATGGACGATGCGGCCACTTGGATGCGGTGCGCTTCCTGCACACGAACCGAAGCGAGGGCAGCACGCGTAACGCCATGGCCTCGGCAGGGTCCTTCGGGCACTTGGTTGTCGTTGAGATTCTCCATCAGCACCGCACCGAAGGCACAACAACGAATGCGATGAACTGGGCCGCGGCGACCGCCCTACTTGAGGTTGTCCACTGGTTGCCTGCAGACCGCTCGGAAGGCTGCTCGGCGCTGGCTTTCTACTACGCAGCGCGCAACGACAAGATGGAGATGCTGCGGTTTCTTGTGACCCTCCAAGGCACGGAGGCGCTGCAGCACGCGTTCGCCGCTGCCAAGTTACGCTCACCCTGGAGAACGTCCAAGCCGCCGGCTGTGCGGGCGCCGATGAAGTGGATCTTCTCTCGGGCGAATACAATTCTCGCATTGTTTGATTGGTGGATCGATCTTTTGTTCAGCCAGCAAGCATGCGAGCTGGTGACGAAGCCCACAGAAGACTCGCTATCTCAAGCAACCAAGTGACTTCGAGGTCGAGGAGATATAAATTAGTCGGTGATTAGGGTTTTGTCTGGTCATACGATAGCACGTTGGACCACTCGAACGAGTTGAGGCACTTGACGCACGTTACGTGGTCGCACGCATCATCAGCCT